TATATGACCGAACCTAACCAACCCTACCTACCTAGGTTAGGTAGCCGAAAAAGTTTGGTTAGGTTAGGTTAGGTAGGTTAGGTAGTCGAAAAACAATTAATTCATGAAAACTTGGCTTATTAGGCAAATTGGGCCTTGCATAGTAGGCAGAGAAGTGCGTTCTGGCTACTAGGTACGACATATATATATATATATATATATATATATATATATATATATATATATATATATATATGTCGTACCTAGTAGCCAGAATGCACTTCTCGGCCTACTACGCAAGGCCCGATTTGCCTAATAAGCCAAATTTTCCTGAATTAATATATTTTCTCAATTTTTTTTCATATGAAATGATAAAGCTACCCATTTCATTATGTATGAGGTCAATTTTTTTTTATTGGAGTTAAAATTAACGTAGATATATGACCGAACCTAACCAACCCTACCTAACCTAACCTAACCTATCTCTATAGGTTAGGTTAGGTTAGGTAGCCGAAAAAGTTAGGTTAGGTTAGGTTAGGTAGGTTAGGTAGTCGAAAACCAATTAATTCATGAAAACTTGGCTTATTAGGCAAATTGGGCCATGTATAGTAGGCTGAGAAGTGCGTTCTGGCTACTAGGTACGACATATATATATATATATATATATATATATATATATATATATATATATATATATATATAATATAAAGTACATACATATATATATATATATATATATATATATATATATATATATATGTATGTACTTTATATTATATATATATATATACACACAGTGGAACCTCGAGTGACGAGTGGCTCCAGTTACGAGCAATTCGAGTAATGAGTAAGGCACTTGCAGAAAATTTGTCTTGACTGACGAGTTTTCCCTCGATTAACGAGCATTCCGGCTGGTTCTCAGACACTTCCAACGACAGTTTTGTTCTTTCATAAGACGAGTTTTTCACATGACGAGCTCAGTGCCGGAACGGATTAAACTCGTTAATCGAAGTGCCACTGTGTGTGTGTATGTATGTGTATATATATATATATATATATATATATATATATATATATATATATATACACACACACACATACATGCACTAGCAGTACCCGGCTACTCGTTGCTGTGGCTCTGCAACGCATGTGCATTGCTGAGCCACAGCAACTTTTCCTATCCCCCAGTCCTCCCCACTATTCTCTCCTCACCCGTCTCCTCGGCCTCCCAACCATTCCCCACTCCACCGTCCCCTCGTCCTCCCCACCATTCCTTCTTCCTTCCCACCATGCTCCATTCCCCTGTCCCTTTGTCCTCCCCACCATTCTCCATTCCCCCATCCCCTCGTTGCCACCATCCCAAACTCCCCTGTCCCCTCTTCCTTCCCCACAATTACCCCTCCCTTGTCTCCTCGTTCTCCTCACCATCTCTGACTTCCGTCCCTCGTCATCCCCACCATTCCCCCACTCCCCCGTTTGATGCCTTCCCAAATGATCTGATGTTCCGATCAGAAAATTGGGAACATCAAGTGATCTGAAGTTCCCATCACTGAAATATAAGAAAAAGTTAAAAATGAAATGAAAATATGAAAAAATAAAAAATAAACTATACATACAAATTGAACAGTATGATAAACAATACAGCTCAATTCCAACGCAATTCACACAAAATAATTAAATAAAAATAAAAATAAATAAAAATTTATGAAAATTCAATTTATCAATGCAATCAGAAACATTGAAATGGAATTGTAACATATATATAGTATAGCGTGTGAGTTGCTCTAACATGCAACAGATGGCGCTGTTCGTCATGAATAGCATAGTTTTACCTGTCACAGGTGTGGTACCTATACTTACACTTATGAAATGAATGGTATGGTAAACAACATAGCTCAATTCCAACACTATGTCACACAAAATAATTCAATAAAAAATAAAATAAATCGAAATCTATGAAAATAAAATTTATCAATGCAATCGGAAATATTGAAATGGAATTCGTGACATATTTAGTATAGTGTGAATGTTGCTATTATGTGCCACAGAGGGCGCTGTTTTTCAAAAATGCATGTTTATTCCTGTCACAGGTGTGGCGTCTATATAGTAGGTATATAAAAAGATGCGCCTATTAGAATGCAACGTTGTGTCAAAATTTCAAAGCAATCGGTGAAGAACTTTCGGAGATTACAGCGTGTGTTGCTCTTACGTTCAACAGAATCACGCTTTTTTTCAGAAAAAGCATGTTTTTTACTGTCACAGACGTGACATCTATATAGTATGTATATAAAAACCTGGCTGGACACGAATGGAACTTTGTGTGAAAATTTCAATGCAATCGGTGAAGAACTTTCGGAGATTAGCGATTTTGAACAAACGAACATTTCCATTTTTATATATATATATATATATATATATATATATATATATATATATATATATATATATATATATATATATATATATATATATATATATATATGAATGAATGAATGAAAACTCCACACCCCAGAAGTGACTCGAACCCAGACCGCCAGGAGCACAATGCAACTGGTGCACATGGTACCTTAAACCACTCGACCATCAGTGACCGTACAAAAAACGATGATAGCCGAGGCTATTTGAACCACAGTCCCGACGGCACTTTGATGATAATCTTGGGCATAGTTATTTCATCAAATCACCTCAATGGGGCCACGTGAGCAACACAAATGCAAACAAGCTTGAATGGTCCCCAAGCATATATGCGAATGAACACTCCACACCCCAGAAGTGACTCGAACCCAGACTGCCAGGAGCACAATGCAACTGGTGTACATGGTGCCTTAAACCACTCGACCATCAGTGACTGTGCAAAAGACGATAGCTAAGGCTATTTGAACCACTGTCTCGACGGCACTTTGATGGTAATCTTGGGGATAGTTATTTCAGCAAATCACCTCACTTTATGGGGCCACGTGTGCAACTAAAATGCAAAAATACACTCATGTGGCCCCATAAAGTGAGATGATTTGATGAAATAACTATGCCCAAGATTACCATCAACGTGCCATCAGATCAGTGGTTCAAATAGCCTCGGCTATCGTTGTCTTTTGTACGGTCACTGATGGTCGAGTGGTTTAAGGCACCATGTACACCAGTTGCATTGTGCTCCTGGCGGTCTGGGTTCGAGTCACTTGTGGGGTGTGGAGTTTTCATTTGCATATATGCTTAGGGACCATTCAAGCTTGTTCGCATTTGTGTTGCTCATGTGGCCCCATGAAGTGAGGTGATTTAATGAAATAACTATGCCCAAGATCACCACCAAAGTGCCGTCAAGATGGAGGTTCAAATAGCCTTGGCTATCATTGTCTTTTGTACGGTCACTGATTGTCGAGTGGTTTAAGGTACCATTTACACCAGTTACATTGTGCTCCTGGCGGTCTGGGTTTGTGTCACTTCTGGGGTGTGGAGTGTTCATTCGCATATATGCTTGGGGGACGATTCAAGCTTATTTGCATATATATATATATATATATATATATATATATATATATATATATATATATATATATATATATATATATATATATGTATATATATAATCAGTATATATAACCTACCCTACCGAACCTAACCTACCCTACCTAACCTAAACTAACATAATGAAGTCAATAATTTATGTTTTTAATATACTATAGTATAATAGTAATAATTCAATTGGGAACAATTTTTTTTAAATAAAGAAAATCACTCGGTCTATTACGCAAATTGGGCCTTGCATAGTAGGCCAAGAAGTGCGTTCTAGCGTTCTGGCTACTAGGTATGACATTATATATATATATATATATATATATATATATATATATATATATATATATATATATATATATATATATATATATATATATATATATATATATATAAACTTTAGATACACCCACCCACCAGGAGACTCGAACCTTAGCCATCAAGATGACAGATACGCACTTGTATCCACTACACCATACTCAGAAGTGGATACAAGTGCATATCTGTTGTCTTGATGGCCAGGGTTCGAGTCTCCTGGTGGGTGTGTGTGTCTAAAGTTCTGTACTTCAAAACTTGTGGTTTAAAGCAAGTCAGTGTATATATATATATATATATATATATATATATATATATATATATATATATATATATATATATATATATATATTATATATATATATATACATGCACACACTCATACACACATGCGCGCGTATATACTCAGAAAAGTATATTAACCATATCTCATCAGCATTTAACTTAAGCATGATCATTAAGTAGATGGTTTCTGTGCGGGGTGGATGAGTTTGTTTCAGTTGGTGGCATTTTAAAATCCATTCATCTGGCCATTCTTCATGCCTCCACGTTCAGGGGCCTCCCAGCCCTGCCCGTGCTTACCGTGCTGTGGGTGACAATCATGGTTGTCATCTGTACGTTGTGCTGAAACTACAGGCCAGTGGTTCTGTTGGCTGCTTCAGTCAGGTCACCTACTTCATCCAGACCTTGGAGGTAGTGTTACTGAGGCATAACATAAGGATCCTGATCAGTGGTATCTTCACAAATTTTACAGAGCTTGAACACTAGTTCCTTCAAAAGGATTCTTTAGCTGTTCCTTCATATAGATATATTTCATTGTTCTGTATATAAAGGGTTATATTTGATATATAGCTTCCATTTTCATCAGAATAATCCTCTATTTAAAGACATAATAATTATTCACATATTGTTAATTTCTGGCCATTATATTTGATTGGCTTTCCAGTGTTGATATTTATACAGGTTAGAGTTCAAGCTCTGAATTCCTTGCGGATCTATACTGCTATAAATAAATTTTGAAGTTAAATAAATTATCCAATAGTAGTTATTAACAGCAACTTTTTTAACAAATCAGTAAGAGCAGTTGTAGATCCCAATCATTATGTATCAAGTGTTCTGGATATTTTATGTGACCAACTTACTAACCAATGCGCCTCGTTACTGATGTTATGTGTTTTGTGTTTCTCTCCTGCTAGTTTCATAATCAGTCCAAGTTGTACAAAGATACTCTGCACTACATGAACACAATCTTCACTTCGTTCTTTACCATTGAATGTTTACTGAAGATCACGGCATTCGGAGTCAGGGTAAGGAAGGTTCAACTCTACTCATGGCAAGAGACAACACTCGTAGTGGGTCTCTCTAACAATCCCTCGTTTGTTTCTTATATAACTTGCTAGATCATTATATACGTCATTACTGTCTAGATCTATATCTGTTTATCCTTAGCTCTCAAGGTCTTCTTTCTAAATCTTTATCTCTGTATGTTATCTGGAAAAACCTGAGTTTTGCGTGAATCCTGTGGTAGTATGTTGCTGTTTCATCTCCTCTTGCCTGTCTCCACCTTTTGTGATATATATCCCAATATTTCCCAGCTGCCTCATAGTATAACAGTTTTTTATGTAATATTTTTAGATTCTGGGGGTGTCTGGTTTCTTAATGCATTAGTTTCTCTGTTAGGAGTTTTAGGTATTCTGTATGATTTTTCTCGGCTCTTCTCGTACCCTCCTGTGTTTTAAGACTAAGTAACCTTAATGAACTTTTTAGCCTATAGTTAATAAGTGCTCAACACTGTCTCTTAGGTTGCCTCTAATACAATATTTAGTTGCAAATAGAAAGTGATGCTTGACATTGATTTGTAGCTTCCTGTGTTCTATGCTCTGTGTTCGTTTAGTTGTATGCAATTAGCAGTTTTAAAATCAAGTACTGAGCGCTGTAGGATAACTAAAAATCAATTTGGTGTTGTATTTGTATTTTTGTTGATTTAGAATTGCAGTAAGATTTTTATTAAATAACATCATACAATTTATTCATGTATTAATACATGCTATATAGTATTAGATTGTTTATTATATCATAAAAGTCATTCAGGAGCCCTCTGTTTAGTAAGGTCATCAGAACATTAGTAGCAAAATTTAACAAATTACATAACTATATTTAACCTAAGTTTCAGCAAATTATGGATTCACTATATAATAATTAAAGGTTTATCTCATAGACTGAATGATACTTCATTGGAAAAAATATATATATATATGCATATATACTGTATATATATATATATATATATATATATATATATATATATATATATATATATATATATATATATATGTATATATGTCAGGATTAATAGCCAGAGTTGCCGAACTAGCCGTATTTTTGTGAAATATTAAATTTTTCAATTTTTTTTATGAAACGATAAAGTTTTCATTTTATTATATATGATTTCAATTAAATGTTATTTGAGTCAAGACTAACATAGAAATGTGATCAAAGCTGATTTACCTGATTTATCTGAGGGCCACTAACCCTAGTGGCCTCGACGAGGACAGGACGAAACCTAACCTACCTAACCTAACCTACCTAACCTACCTAACCTAACCTAACCTAACCTACCTAACCTACCTAACCTAACCTACCTAACCTACCTAACCTACCTAACCTACCTAACCTAACCTACCTAACCAAACCTAACCATTCCTATCCAAACCTAACCAATCCTATCCAAAGCTAACCAATCCTATCCAAACCTAACCAAACCTATCCAAACCTAACCAATCCTATCCAAACGTAACTAATCCTATCCAAAGCTATCCTAACCTATCCTAACCTAACATAACCTAATACAGTACCTCTATAACTAAGTCAGTAATTCACGTTCCTAATATAATAGATTATTAGTGTTAGAAAAAACTAATCTGGAAAGAAATATTTGAAAATGTAAAAAAATCATTCTGCCTGTTAGGCACATCAGACCTTGCATACTAGGCCAAGAAGTGCAGTTCTGGCTGTTAGGCCTATATATATATATATATATATATATATATATATATATATATATATATATATATATATATATATATATATATATATATATATATATATATATATATATATATATATATATATATATATATATATATATATATATATATATATATATATATATATATATATATATATATATATATATATATATATATATATATATATATATATATATATATATATATAATGTGAGGATCCACAAGGTCTTCTCAGAGTACTCTTTATTTTCTTCTCCAAGGCTATGGGTCCCTACGCTTGCACAAGAGGTGGTACCCAACAAAAAAAATTATATATATATATATATATATATATATATATATATATATATATATATATATATATATATATATATATATATATATTATATCATAGTATCAATGTTTCCTTATATGCTGAACAATGAGTTGATCATGGTTATAATTTGTTAGTGTTCCTCTGTTTTTTGAGCAAGTCTATGTTCTCTGTTGAAGGGTGATGAACATTACCTGTATTCAATAAAGATGTATCTAAGGTGCCTCTTGAATGCCAAATATGTCTCCTCCTATTATCTTTCATATAAGAAGCAGTCAGCATATGTATTATTTTGTTATTGTTCAAACAATTTTTCGGTGTCTATTTCATAGCTTGAATTTGCTACTAATGTCCAATTTTGCATTAATGTGCCTAATAGTTTTATTCATGTTAGCTTCACTTTGTGTTGGGATTTAGGTTAGGAGCATTCTTCAATTTTGTTTCATTATTGTTCTGTTGTTATATAGGACTTTGTTGGTTAGTCATGTCTTCCTAATTATTTCAGAAATTTATTGAACAGTTAATTTAGTTCATCTTCAATTAAAACTTTTTATATTTGTTCTTATCCCTTTTCTCTCGTGCCAAATGTTTGTCATCTTACACACTCCCTTTCAGATTTAATCTCCGTCTTACACAAATACTTATAATTCCTCTCCTATCCTTATAGTTTGTGTGATATTTTGGGTTCCCATGACATCCAGTAGAGCATCAGTCCTCCTCCTCATCCTCCTGGAAGTTGGTGCCCCTTCTGTTCTGTCCCTTTTTTCATTGCTACATGCTGAAAACATACATATCTTTCTTTTGCTCTCTTGATAGGAAATCTTTGTGTGTATGCCCTTGAAATTTATGTAGAATCTTTTCAAGATAACTATTTATTTGTGTTCATATCTGTCACTTGAATTCCATATCATCCCCTTTCCTTCTTATACTCCTATTATCCTGTTAAGCCTCTCTGAGCAATATCATAATAAGGAATCTGTTTCTCACAATTCTCCTTCACCTTTCATTCTTACACTCCTGTACCTTCCTTAGTTAAGCAAAGACACTGAGGTGGAGTCTAACACTTATACAAAACTGATCTGCTCAAAGACAGCACAGTGAATGTGTGTCCCATTCATCTTCGTAAGTAAGATATAAAATAAGGACGTGCATCTAACGAGCCGTCCTGAGGCCTTCCTCCCCAAGTTCCAGCAGACGCGCGCGCGCGAGATCCCATCATCGGAGGCAGATCACCAACCCTCCCTGCCCTGGCAACCACGCTCATACAAGAGCAATGATCGCATGTAACGACTGTCTCTTGTTCTGAGCTGTGGCTCCGTATACTGTATGGTGGCGCCGTATACCATTGTCCACACCATTGTTGCATTGTCCAACCAGGACTTTTGATCACTGTCAGTGTTAATGTTACCTGTGCATGACAGCATGGCATGATAGCCTGGCATAACAGCATTATGAGTTTTTGCTCTCTTGATGTAGCATGGGTTCCATGCAGCATGCAATAAAGCATGCAGGTCTTTATGGTGCACAGATGCAATCTTGAATGAAGAATGCTGCCTGTCCAAGTCGTAACAGAGGTATGTCTAACCTGCATGTTGACTCTTTGTTATGTTATGCTGTCAGAAAATAGATTCTGATCCACTGCACACATGATACTAAGTAGTATTGGCAGTTTGGCTCAGTGAGTGGAATCTGTTATTATTTCTGCTGCCATTATCAATTTTATTAGTATTGCTAAAGTATCATTTCAGTTTTGTATTATCAGTAAAGCATTTTTTTTTTGTGAAATAATTTATATATTTCATCATTAGTGAATTATAGACAAAATAAAGTACCTGATTTTGCAGTTTATTTTGTTTTGTTCAGTCCATAATTACACTGTAGTTTCAGTTCCTTCCTGGGTATATGCATGTACATAAAAAGAATAGATATGTGCACCCTTAGTCATGTCTTCACTGGTAGCAATGTGCACCCTTCATGATATGTGCTTCCTGCCATAGTTGTGTGACTGTAGTAGGTAAGCATGACCTCTTACCCTGTGGTGTGACCGGCATGGCCATCTTGCACCAGCATCGTGGTACTCAACAAGCGGATGCATCTGCTAGACCCTTTGATACTGTTCCCCTGGACTAAGTGATATGCTTGCTCTAGCCTGTGGTTTCAAGTCTTGTTGTATTTTATAATGTATTGATAAACTAAAAAAATATGCATTCACAATATGCTGTCTGTACAGTATTTGTTTTTAATATTGACAACAGTAAAGGCAGGAATTATTGCCTGATTTGTGACCTTTAATGAGACTTGAAATGACAAAATATTTATGATACCTGATTTGTTCACAGTATCATATTCATCTATTTTATTACCAGATTAAACTGAATGACCATTTCTATTAATTCATGGTATAAGTATTAATTTTGTGTTTCTCTGTGTCTCTTTCCTTACATAAAACTTGAAAAATCAACGGTGCCACCCGAAAATCATTGTTCCTCATCACTGATTGGTCCTGGCTGATTCCATTGCCAACCAATCATATGTCACAACTGGATGATACATACCCTTGTGATTCGCGGTCCCGCCCACCCCCCTCTGGCGTCCCCGACCAATCAACACTGCGCTCTGTCGCCCCCGACCAATCAACACTCTGCGCGCCAACTTCAACCCTGGGCCATCGTATTCTGCCCACTCTCTAGTATTACCATGCAGTTCCTCTCTACATGGACATTTTGGGATACCTGAACAACGTTTTCACCATTTTCTTTCTGCTTGAATGTATTTTGAAAATTATAGCATATGGATGCAGGGTAGGGAAGACTTATATTATATCCATGGATCACTCCTTCACTCTCTGCCTGTCTCTCGCATCAGTTTTTTATTTTGTTTCGTTTTATTTAAATTCATTCATATTACAGAACTATACATAGACAAAGTATGCAGGACAGTAACTTTGTCTTCATTGCAGTTTTTC